GTGAATTCGTGAGCATAAACGTGACAATTTTTATACAGATGGAACTACAAGGTCTGTTCGAAAGGATTCGTGGTTTGCGAAGTAAATTGAGTGCAAGTGGTTTTTACGTATTGGGGTAAACACAGGAATGATTTTATACAATCTGAGTTAAGAATAATTAAAAAAATTGTCCCAGATCGGTTGAAGCCACGAGTTCCGATTCATTTTTAGAAATAATTAAAGCAAATGCTTTGCACGGATCACTTGTGATTTTCGCTTGCTGGAAAGCGTTTAGCTGTCTCGAGGCTGAAGGATATAAGCACTATCATTTGAAAGTGAAAAACAGCTTGCACGTCGAAAATCTGGGCACAAATACATTTGGTCGAAGTTGAGAACTAAAAGTAATTTTTATTTACTTTCTAAAGCGAAATATCGGATTCACGCCAAATTGGGTGATTTCATTGTTAAGTAATGAATGATATTATTATTATATACCTTTATTTTCGTCCTTGCATCATTTTTCTGGAAATGTTCCGTTTTTTTAGGACTCAAATCAATGTATAATATTTCTCTCTGTGTCATTTGCTTTGTGTTCTGATTACTATTTGTTACTTTAAAACGGCCTATTTTTGAAAGGTTAAAACGAAGAAATTTTAATTACACTGGAGTGTTTGTTGAGGTTGCAACTGTTCTTAGAAGAATTGTAATCACGACTGGTGCTTGTGCGCGATGCCAATCTGTGCAATCCTCTGATGCTTTTTAAGCGAAAGCAGATCGCTGTGTATATGGGGGAGAAGAACAGTATTATATCCTGTATTATGTGCAAAATATTATTTTTGTATTTTTATTTTATACATTTATATTAATTGTAAATTGCATTTTTAATCATCATTTTTGTATTTCAAATTAAAAATTTCATTGTTTTCTTTTTGAGATGTTTATAAGGTTTTTCCGTTAACAATAAATATCGATAGTTTGACGAACTTGAAGCCAAAAGTCGAGTCGCGAAAATCGCAAACTTGCATTCGATAAGTAACTTTTACATATTAAAATAATAATGTAAAAGTTATAAGGTATTTCTCCGACCTTCTTACTATGCCTTCGTAGTGTAGTGGACCGCACGCTCGGCCCGTATTCGAGAGGTCCGAGGTTCGAATCCCGGCGAGGACATCGCCCATTTCTTCACATCTCTTGCTTCAAGAGATCCTAATGTCTCTACAAGCTAATAATAATGTCCTCGCCCTCCCGGCGAGGGCAATGCTCATGTTAGCTCTCTCTTGCTTTCAAAAAACCTAATGACGCTGAAACAAAAGTGGCGCCCGAACTAAAAAGGTGGTGAATGATGATTCTTCACCACCAGGATCTGGCGACTGGGTCCTTTAAAACCCAGTTGCCCTTTGAAAGGGGGAAGTATATAAGGTCCTGCCTTCTTAGCATGCATTCGTGGTGTAGTGGTCAGCACACTCGACGCGTATTCGAGAGGTCCGTGATTCCAGTCACGGTTGCTGTTGTAATTGCACTTGGTGTTATATTTTTCACTTGAAACATTGCTGATTATTATAAATTTGTGGTTTTTAGTTTCCTCTCTTATTTTCCTTATTGTGAGGAATTAGATATTTGCCAGTTATTGATGTATGGAATACTAATATGCGCAAAGACATTATAATGTTATATAGGAATCTAGAAAACAGTGAAACGAAGGCTACGCATGATGTTCATTTGCAGCAAAAAATCATTTTTCTCTTTTCATTAATACATTCATTTCTTACATATTTTTTATATTATAATGAATATCGTCTACTTAATAGTATATAAGGAATTTTGTGTAGCAATAAAACAATTTAAGAAAACGGTACAATTAATCTGATTCTGAATCTTTTTAATCTGAAGATTTACATAAAAATGCATTTAATTACTGATATATCTAATTAAAAACATTCAATGCTTTTATAGAATGACGTTATATATTTTTTCCCTTTTTCATATACAGAAAATGTGTAACGTTCTCATGTTAGTCTAAATATCTATACGTCTAGTATACTAAAAATGCTTCGCTATTTCCCCTGAGGCCTCTTTATTGATAATCTCTGCTGATAAACCCAGTTAAACATTAAAACAGAACTTGTAGGTGACCGTGAAAATCCGAACCTTTTCAGATAATTTCTTTTTCTTTTGTTTCTCTCTTTTCAATTCATTGTATCAGTGTTAAATTTTCTTTGTAAGATGAGTTACGTAATTGTTTTTTGTATTTTTATTATTAACTTTTAGTCTTCTTATTTATTAAACATCACTTTTTTTACCACTTACGCGTAAGTGGCGTGGTAAATTTTTACCACTTACACTTTTTTTAAAACTAATACAATTCATACAAGAGATCTCCACAGTTTCATTTTTAGTTCCATATGATTAAGCATGTAGAGAGAGCTGGAAAAAAAATATTTAAAAATTTTTTAATACAGTAAATCAAAACTATGTTCTTAAAAAGTTTCTTTCTCTCACTCTCTTTTTTTAATATTACTTTATTTTATACTTCTTAGTCTATAGAATACAGAAGAAAATTACAGCTTCCTATAATAAGATATAGAGCAGTATATTTATTTTTCGATTTCCTTTGATCTATCTGATAGCTAGAATTTACATTCTGTTCATTTAAATTTTCGTTTGATTTAGAAATCTGTCATGACTTTTAAATCATGGATTTGCTACCAATGAAGGATTAAATCTTTTGATTTAAAAATCCGTCGTTATTCACAGCTGCATAATAACTAAACAAAAATTGAACGATTTTTGGGAAAAAAAAAAAAAAAAAAACACTAGAATAAAGTAAATAATTATGTTGTGAATTTCCAACAATAAGGTAAATAATTATATTGGGAATTACCAATAATTTTCATTTGTAAAATTGTTTTCTGAACCATCTAATGAAGAAAAAACAAAACTGTGTGGTGCTTCATTTGATCCTTAAACAAAATTATGTAAGACAAATTCCATGCTGAAAAAGAGAAAAGCTCAAACTGATCCATTTTTCAAGTGCGAAACGCGGCTGGAGGAAAAATCCAGAAATTCTTTCACAAATCAGCCTTTTTTTGACCTCCCGATTTTCCTAAAACATATATCTAGAAATCAGAATTATTTCTTCATTTGATATACTTCTGTTCCCCCTCTAAAGAAAAACAGCTTCATGATTTATACAGCTGGATTAAGAAGCTTCATGTGTCAACTAACTTACAAAATCCATGAATATTTACAGAATGCGGGATACTTTCCGGAAGATATCCTGAGGCGTGACACTGCATTGAAATGAGGGATTATTTAGCTTTATCCGGAATGTCAACCTTTGGTTCGAACACATGTCGCAGAAGTCTGTTATAAGGAATTGGAAATAAGATGTACGAGTACGATGTTATAAGAGAAATTCTTCGAACTCTCCGCATTTCATTTTTGATAACCTAGTTCTTGGGTCTAAGACTAGTCATCTGTCTTACCTTGTCTGCACTTTCCTTTTCCCAAATTCCTAATTTTTTACTTAAACTTACGGCCTAGATGATTCCTTTATTTTTTTTAATTGATGATCTGTCTAAAGTCTTTCAATCTGTCTAAAAAAGGTTTGCCTTCAAGGACTACTTTCTAAGGGAAACTGGTTTACAATGGCATTACACATCGAAAACACCACAAAAAAGCCTAAACAGTTAACCATTTGGTCGATATTCCGAACCCGGATCTTGCCAATGGCTCAGCGATTTTAATCATTGGTCCACTGGTTGGCCTTGGATGGGAACGAACAAAATGTGCTTGGCTATGTTTGTTGTCCTATGACATTTAAACATAAGCTTACGTACACCTTCCCTAAAAAAGTGAAACTGCAATTAGACTAGTTGGCTGAAGATTATAATAAAGGAAAATACAAGGGCATTACTTCTCCTCCCCCCCACACCGTTTCTGCTTGTTCACTTTATTGCTTAGTGTTCAAATAAAATGCTTAATGCTTGGAAGTAAATTTCATTTTATGTGCAGTAAACAGCATAATATTTCGAGAACAGTTTATATTTTATTTTATTTTATTTTATTTATTTATTTATTTATTTTTGAAACGTGAAAATCGGTTATCAGGACCCATCGATTATGCGATTAGTTATATCCAGTTCAGAAAACGAGGCTGTGATGCGTATTGTTACGTACGTAAGTGTTCGTAGTGGACTGAATGCCTACAGAACCGACGATAACTAGATTAAATGATATTTTCCCGAAAGAAACACTTTACAGTTCTGGAAATTCTCACAAAAATACTCATACAGCTCTTGTCCGTATGACCGCAATTAGTAATTACTACTTCAAACTACTAAGAACGTTAAACATAACTTAATGCAAAGCGCATCTAAAGAGCGAAGCTCGCACGGAGATCTCTCACTACTAGGAGCTCAACTCTGACCTAAAAACTGAGAACTGGTGCTCTCTGAGGTGTTATATAGTTTTCACCAGGCCGCAGAGAAATTTCTAGTACCTTCTATTTCTTGAAATTGCTAGAAGGCATATACAGTTACAGTTACATGTAGGGATCAGACCAATTAGACTTACACGGGTTCGGGTCAAAATGTCGCAAGTTTTGGTGATTTTTGACGATTTCTCGCCAAATTTGGCGACAAAAATTAGTTGCCTAAACCAACGCCAGCTTGATTGGCGATATAGCCATTTACTTCAATGTTAAATGGGGCCTGCCCCTGTAATCTTACTTTTCCGGCGGATTTTATCATTCTCGAGTCATTTGATGATACTTTATACAAGAGATAGTATGATTTCACTAAAATTACTTGCATCTTTGCAGAATTCGCAACGATATATAAAAGGAAAGCGTATATGTGAGTCTCGCTAAAATGTCTTTTAGAGACAGCAAAATGATAAGAAATTTGAATACGATAAAGTAACTTAATCTTAAAGTTACAGATCAGTAAAGGGTGCTTACGTATTATCGCAAACGCTGTAGCGCAATTTGGCGAATTTAGCGGAAGAAAAAGAACAATTACTTTTAATATAAAAAATTATATATTACGTACGTATTCTACATTTCAACTACATGCTTATTCCTCAAGGCTATCAGTAAACCTTGTTACAAAGAGTTTTCGCTTTTGTTGCGATGCAAATTTCGTAGAAGAATTCGAAGCATTGTTCCTTTAGTGATTTTGAGGCAAAGTTGTCTATTTCTACAGAAATTTCAGGTCTCTTTCTTTTTTTAAAGAAAAATCCTAGAAGCACAAATTTTAAAAACAAGTTAAAGACAAAAAATTAATAAATAAATAAAAATAACGAAATTTTTTTATAAAAGCTGTTAGAACTTGGAATGCGACCCCCCCCCCAAAAAAAAACCCATAAGAAATTGGTGGCGTTAGAAACTGAATATTTGTAATACGCATGGTTGCCTGAATAATTGTTATGCGCGTGGTTATTACAGTTTGGTGTATTTCGAAATTTTGGCGATTTTTACTAAGGTGATTGCGATAATATGTAAGTACTCAGTAAAGTACTAAATTCTTAGTGAAAAATTCAAAAGCAATTATAGGAAATAGTCAGGTTAAAAAAAAATTAAAATGAAGTTTACGCTTGAAAGTAAAGCAAGGTTGAATAAATAAGCAAAAATAACCCAACTAAAAAATAAATGAAGAAATAGATATAAATAATAATAAAAAAAGAAATAAAAGAAAGAAGTGAGAAAAATAATAAAAAATTCTGCAATAAGATCAAAATCGGGTAGCAATGTGCCGTCAAATGAGTGGAAATCGAATTTAATTTCCAAAAGTAGTAGAGAGATCAAGAGAATAAAGTTTAATCGTAGTTGATGGCAAAATAAGCCAAAATTAAGTAGTTATGTCCACACGGTTACATATTTAATACGTCAGAGGAAATACAATTAAAAAAATGTTATATGTTAAAAAGTGAATAAAGCCGAAATTTATTCAACAAATGTATTCGCAAGTAAAATAATTGCAAAAATGAAAATAACATAAAACTGTTAAGAAGAGTTATGGTAAAATAATGCAAATGAGCCCGAAAATAAAAAAGAAATAAAAACGAAAGCCGCAATTATTCATTTTTCGTATATGTATGTATACTTGTATGACATGATTTGTTTTCCCGAAGTCGATAGGCGGATATTTATATGGTAATTTTACGTTGCTCCGTTGCTTGGCGGTTCTTTACTGCTTACCCAAAATATTAAGAAAGTAATAGTAAACGAAAACTCCTTGTTTTAAGAGAAAGTCGGATTGATGGAAGTTAAAATTTACATTTCGAAATTCGAAAAAGCTTGTTTATGTGCTTAACAATTATGCGTAAAAAAAAAAAAAAAAAAAAAAAAAAAAAAAAAAGAGAGAGAGAGACAAGGAAATGCGAATTGCAGAATGTCTCGTACAGTAAACAAAACTGTTAATGACACATTTTCATGCCATATCTTAGAATTCCAATCAGTATTCATGTTGTTTTCATGTTGCTTTCATATAATTATCACGATAATTGAAATACTGAAGAAATTGTGCAAATAGATCTTTTTTATCCATACCTTTTACCTTTATACTCGAGGATATAAAAACGTATCTCATGTTTGACTTATACAATTAGAATAATTGCTTTTGATGTTCTTAAATATAATGTGTTTAGCAACAGTTACAAGATAAAATAACTTAAACAGAAAAATGCTGTGTAAGATATATGATAGTTTATGCTTTATCTATTTGTTGATTACATTGCACATAAGAGTTGTAGCAGTCGTGAACGAGGCTCAAACTTTATCATGGAGCGAATTTCTGCGATTATTCCATAAATTTTGTGGGATCTTCTAAGATTTCATGAATATCGAATAAATACACGCAGTTCGGATTTTTCTGCAATTTTTTCTTTTAATTTCTATTGCCATTTTTATGTTAGATTATTTTGACACTTCACGAAGTTCGTTTAATTCGTTTAATCTTAATTTAACCAGTTATTATGATTTAGATCTTTACTGTCACTTCTCCCTTCCGTCTTCATACCAGAATGCAAAAGGGTATTTTAAGCCGATACTGTCGGATGGTAAGACAGGGAAGCCGGGGAAAAACCCAAAGGACTTAAACTCCTACCGTCCGATCAGCCTTCTCCCCAGTTTGGGAAAGGTATTTGAGCGTGTGCTCCAAAAGAGATTAACTCAACATCTAGAGGATAAGAAAATTATATGTAAAGAGCAGTTTGGTTTTAGAGCCGGTCATAATACCGTGCACCAACTACTGAACGTTACAGAATTTATTGCAGACTCCTTCGCAAAAAAGAACACAATCGCCAGCTGCTTTCTAGATCTAGAAAAAGCATTTGACAAACAAGGTTCATGAGGGTCTCCTCTACAAGCTGCACCTTGTTCATCTGCCCATCAGTTTTGAAAGCTCATGAAAAGCTATCTTAAAAACAGATCAGCTCATGAAAAGCTATCTTAAAAACAGGACCTTTCAGGTAAAAATTAATGACTCTCTCTCTCTTCAAGAAAAAGAATTAAAAGCGGAGTGGCTCAAGGAAGCGTTCTGGGACCGCTTTTCTGTTTAATATCTACACGAATGATGCCGGTTCCTTTGAATGCAAAAGTGGTGAAATATGCCGACGACACAGCAATTTTAACCAAGTCGCTAAAACCTCAGCTCGCTGTAGATAAACTTGAAAGCGCAGTAAATATCATAGCACACTATTATGATTCGTGGAAATTAAAAGTAAATCCGTCAAAGAGCCAAATTCTCCTTTTCAGACGTCATCGGAAGTTCACTCCTGTGAATGTAAATATAAAAATTAATGATCAAGCCCTAACAATTGTTTCAAGTACCAAGTATCTAGGAGTGGTCTTCGACTCACAGCTGTTATTCAAAGAACACACGGAGTATGCCTTGCGCAAAGCCACCGCTGCTAAAATGTCTCTTTACCCTTTAATAAGAAGAAATGCTAAATTAAATATCAGTCTCAAGAAGAAGATCTATACCAGCTTAATAAGACCCACCCTACTTTTATGCAGTGCCTATCTGGGCCACTGTGTACAAGACTTATAGACACAAACTACAGGTCTTTCAGAACAAAATACTCAGACAAATTGTTGACTCCCCATGGTTCGTACGTAACCTGCAGATACATAAAGACCTATAGCTGATCAAATTCTCACCACGAGCCACAATTTCTATGCTAAAATAGAACTTTCTCAATATGAACATATCCATAATCTGATAAATTATGATCCTACTATAGAAATTGCAGCAAAGCGCCCAAGAGGCATCTTCCATAACAGCAAATGGTGAAATGTGTATATATTGTACATAGTACTATTATCTTTATTTTATCTTCATTGTGTCATTTTACCAGTGTCTTTGAAACTTTATAGACTTATGAACATGATCCGGTACCTGGATCTTCAAAGCACTGATCTTATATTTGTCATTTTCGTAATCTTCTTATTGTTATATCAGAGACTTTGTAATATTGTGGACTTATGGACATGATCCGTGTACCTGGATCTTCAAAGCTCTCATTATTTATTGCTAGTGTAAAATGTTTTTCACCATTTGCTACTTCGCTCAAATACCGCCGTCCCTATATGTACATAGTGTATAGTTTCAGTAACTCATGTGCCTCAGTGTTGTACAAGAACTTTAGTGTTTAATTTCTCAGACCAAGACTTCACTGAATTGTGCTATCTACTATTTCAAGATGCATTGGCTGTGGACAGTTCACGGGAGGGTGACCCCCACGTGACTACCATTGTCGAATCTGTGTTTTACAGCAAGGATGAATTTGAATATTTTGTTTAGCTAATCTGTTGCACTTAGTTGTGCCATTTGTCTTCATTTAGATCGCGATATTAGTTTAATTATTCCAATCTGGATAACCTGTTTCAAAACTTGATAATTATTAATATATCCAATATTTCTCATTGCACGCGTAAGCTGCTTTGCTCGGAGTCTGAACTTGGGTGAGTGACCACCCACGTGACAGGCTCCTGCCAATCATCTCCCTCCACTCCACCTACATTTCACAAAATTTGAGAAGTTTCGCCTAGTTGGCGCGGCGTAAATCGCCTTAATTAAAAACTTAAGTACCAACGCCTTAGGGAAATTTACCAACAGAGACGGTTAAAGTAGCGGTTGGCTACTAATTGCCGCCTGGCCATTGACTCGATTTCGATTTCGATGGTAAGACAGTCACTTGGACTTGTCAGTTTAAGCACGTCATGGTAAAAGCCTGTAGTATCTGTATTTCTAATAAATTTACTCTGGACTGTCTCTCAACAAAAAGAGAAGGATATACCTACGCATTATGAGACCAATTCAGTGCTATACACTTGCAGCCTGGGCGTCAGTCTCAAAGGCAAACCTCGACAAACTTCAGTTAGTTACATAATAAAATTGAACTTTGAGAAGAATTGTAAATCATCATTACGTGACAAGAAACAAACTGATCCACGATAACTTGGAAATCGATTCTGTAGCATTAATGTAAAACTGGTCTTAGCTGTGATGCAGCAAATTTTTCAGAAGCTCTTAGTTATCAAATCATTCCAGAAGACCAGAGCTTAAATTGCGCTGGAGCCCACCGGAGCCCAACTCCGGTACTTCTTAGTTTTGGGAATAAATCATATTTCTAGCCGGAGCCCTAAATAAGAAGACTTCGGCACTTTTTTTAATGTAACTGAGCAACAATTTCCGTAGAAATCTGATTTCGAAAATTTTATTTATAATGATAAAATTATATTGAAAATCGATGCTTCTCTTTTCTTGGGAAACAAATCCTTGGATGGAGGTCGAGACTTTTAAGGAAAGAGAACCCCTACCCGTATGTCAAAGGTTTATTCTCTAAACAATACAGTGAATTTATGACAGCGGGTAAATTTTTATTTTTAATGCTATAGTGTTTTCCCGCCGGAAAGAGCACGTGCAGATTTTTTGGAATGATGTAACCAAAGAAGGGGGGAGGATAAAATTGCCACTTGTTACTTCCTTCAGCTAATCCTCGGATTCGGTGAAAATTTGTTCCCCTGTAATATTCTGCTTGACAACTAAAATTATATTGAGAGGAAATAGTGGTCAGAAAAATGTATCTTTGCTCGTCTTTCCTGAAAGTCTTCCATAGGGCTCCGGCACTTCTAATTTTAGAAATTAAGCCCTGCAGAAGACAGTTTGATCAAACCATTAGATTTGATCAAACCGATAGCTTCGTAACCTAGCTTTGACTGCCGACGTTTACTTGT